ATGCCTGCATGCAGGGAAGGGGGAAGCTGGAGCAGGAGAGGACTTAGAAAGCAGAAGCAGCAGAAGAGGAGAAAGGCAAACACCGATTATTGTATAAGTGGTTTTGCTACCCAAAAATTCATAACCCTTTGGAACACAACATTTTAAATTAAAAGAGGAACTGGTCATAAATTACTTTCAAATACTTTTACTCTGAAGTTGTTTTATCTCATGAATGCTTATGTTTAGCAACCCCCACTATGAAATACTATTTTTCATCCTGTCTTTCTATTAAGCAGTACTGCTAGCACTTCACAACAATAACTATTAAAGTAGATTTGCTAGACTAATAGCAGGCCACGCCCAATAAAGTCTTTTCATTCCAAATTCAGTCTCTCTTTCTCCAAAAGCCTTCCTCCTCCCCATCCTTGGGGATGAAGATTAAGGAAAGCAATACCATCGCAAAAATTAGACTGAAGCGACTTGTCCAAAATATAATAGCATAGTGTCTCCAGGAAGCATTTCTTTTATTGGCCAAACTTTATTTAGTATCAGTGGTTCCAGTAGATTCATTCTCAAAAACATTTATTTAATTTTCTTCAACTCCGAAGAGCATTCTTTGCTTGTCATTGAAAATATGGTTGCTAGACTGCTTAAAACCAGGCAATTCAGGAAAAAGAGTCTGGGTTCCAGTTTCCCTGAAGCTGTTTAAAATGTAAGTTCAGTTTCTATCCCACCTCTCCAAGCTTCCAAACCTCCTCTCCCTTGTGTTGATTTCCCACTGGAAAGACCTTGTACATCATTCTCAATTTTCCTCATATTCCTGTATAAAGAGTTTTGTAATTTACTTTAGCCAATTCAGAGTAGTAGGTTCTCAGTAACTGTAATCCTTCAGGTTTTGTAAGTCTCATTCAATATATTGCAACAATATAGATTTTATTTCTTCTCATATATCATGCATAATATTATTCCCTCTTGTAAAGCCCAATAAACCCATTTATTTGGGATCTATTCCCAGCGATAAAAACCCTATCTATTTACCTCTATTAGTATATCCCTGCAGGATTTGAACTATCCGGTTTTATATAAACACATTCAATTTTTATTTTTGTTTTTATCTTTAATACTACTTATGCTCTATGGCTCAATAATATTGTGTTTTTAACAGCAAAGGGAAAGTGAAAGTAACACACAAAGCACAATTCACTTATTTGCTAACATTTGGAGTGAGCAACAAGCATCAGCATAGGAATACTCCGCAAATTTGTAAGCTAGGAGTCTTTTCTCTTGCTTTACTTACTCCCACTTAATGTATTTCTAGGAGTTGAGCAAAGGTTAACATTTTTAAACAACAGAGGTAGAGACTGCACCTTAAACAATTTCAAAAATACCTTTCTGAACTACTTTCCAATGGACTGATACCCATTGTTAAGCTAGAACTTAAGTTAAAAGAGTATCAAAAGCAACAAAACAGAAGTAAGAATAAAAGGAAGACAGTAATCAGTGTAAAGTGATATTAAAGATCAAGTATTTTTCCAAATAACATGTCTCCAAAAATTTTTTTTTTCCCATTATGGACCATGAGTATCTTTTCAGAAACATTAAGACTTAAACAGAAATTAGGGAGGGGATGTGTGAGCATAGAAGTAAACCCAAACCAAGGACATGTCAGTTCACTCATTTGAATGGAAGGCTTTCTCGTCCCCATCCCCGCTTTTTTTTTTTTTAATGATATTGTGATTCTTGTAGTTTCAAACCAGAACAGTGAGCCGCTCTTAAGCATTAAAGAAACTAAAAAAACCCCAAAACTTAAGATGTAAAAAAAGGTAGGTAAATACAACTCCAAGGTTAACACTGAAATTATTAACTTCAGATTACTGAGCATTTGAAACAAGTCTAGGAAATAGTTCTCTATCTGCAGCGGTTTCTTTAAAATCAATTTTTTTGAAAAATTCCAAAAGACTATTCAGAACCTTCTGTCATCAGAATGGCTTTGATTAATTTAATCAGTATCATGAAAACTGTTAAGATATTTTAAACTATTTTAAGATACCAAAGCCTTAGGGTATTCAGGTTCATTTAAAGTGCATTAGTAATAAAGCAGTTTAACATCATTGCACACTATATTCCCAAATCCTGACATGAAACCCTGCACAACATATTGCAAGCAGACAAAAAGCATATCCATTTCCCTTTATAAAGGCCTCAAGCAATAATTCAAGCATAGAGATAAAGACCAGAGACTAGAGCAGCAGAGCACATTTGCTTCATTTGTTTTTGATTAGGCTGCCTTCTCCCTCTTTATCTGGAGGGCTTATACAGGAAAGTTCAATTTTGAAAGACCACCACCCTACTTTAAAGTTAAACAAAAACAAAATTAAAAACCCACACCAACTCCTGCTGAAATAATAAGTGGCATGCCGGCAATTTTTAGTTTCAGTAAAACACCAGATTGGTCTACACTTCAAGTTTTTAGAGTAGTAACTCTCCAGAGAAGCCAGAGAGTTCACTGATATGGTTAGCAAAACTGACACTTCAGATAAGTGCTGCAAGTCACTTATCTTTCACAAAAGCCCATACAGATCACAAATACTCTTATATTGTTTCTGAAATTTTCATAATACAACTTTTTATAAAAATGAAGCTGCAAGGGTGTCCTGGTTTCAGCAAGGATAGAGTTAATTTCCTTCCTAGTAGCTGGTACAGTGCTGTGGTTTGGATTTAGGGTGAGAACAATGTTGATAACACACCGATGTTTCAGTTGTTGCTGAGCAGTGCTTACACTAGCCAAGGACTTTTCAGCTTCCCATGCTCTACCGACTGAGAAGGCTGGAGGGGCACAAGAAGCTGGGAGGGGGCACAGCCAGGACAGCTGACCCCAACTGGCCACAGGGACATTCCATACCATGGGACGTCATGCTCAGTACATCAACTGGGGAAACCTGGCCAAGGGCAGTGACCGCTGCTCAGGGACTGGCTGGGCATCGGTCGGCGGGTGGTGAGCAATTGCATTGTGCATCACTTACTTTGTGTATTATTATTACATTATTATTACTATTATTGTTGTTATTATCATTTTATTTCAATTATTAAACTGTTTTTATCTCAACCCACGAGTTTTTCTCACTTGTGCTCTTCCAATTCTCTCCCCCATCCCACTGGGGGGGGAGGGGAGTGAGCGAGTGGCTGTGTGGTACTCAGTTGCCGACTGAGGTTAAACCACAACAAAGGGAAACAGCAAATCTTACCCTAGTGACACTAAAATTCACAGCAACGATTGTGTACTGGTGTGACACAAGAAGTTCCTATAGTAGAATCTGTCTTTCCTTCACTGAAAGTATGAGACAACTTAATTTAAGTTAATTAGGTAAAAAAAAATATTATTTGCCACCCATTAGAAGCGTCGTAGGTGATTTTAAGCTACTGATTACAGACAAAGAAAAGTATTGCAATAGCTTCTTGGAGCTTCTTCCAGCCTAAAGGACAGGGAGAGGAGTGGGAAGGAAATGAGAACAGCAAATACTCTAAAAGCACTTCCCAGACACTTATGGCAGAAGAGTCAGCGCTGTCCACTGCGGCACCATTTTTCATCCCCGAGCAAAAACGCCTCTGAACAATGTACAGAATTGAGAGACAGAAGACAGTCACATCTCAGGTAAATGCCATTTCAACTTTCTCTAAGCTGAATTTCACCTGTTTGATTTTGGTATCAATCAACATCCCTTGAACAGATAAAACAAGACACTGAGTCTCAAATTTATCCCTTCCACTAAATTCACTGAAATCTATTGTCCCTCTCACCAAGTACTTAATATCCTGTTCTTCACAACAAATTCTTCAAACTGTTAGAAATTGTGCACTTCAGGAATATATTTAATTGCCAAATTCTAGTGAATTTAAAAATTCTTTTTCTTGAAATACACAAAGCAAATGCCAGTTAACCTGTCCCAACACTTCCACATTCATTTCACTCCACACAAAAACAATCACTCTTCAGTGAACGCCACAGCCATACAGCTCCCAGGACACCATCACGATTTCAGCATCTGGCATCTTCCACAGACACTGTCAGGGCAGGGTGGGCCTGAGCCCTCCTCAGGCATCCTGCTACTTCTGCATGGCTCCACACAGGACAAGCTGTGTTCCACAGCCAGTGGCTAGCTGGCAATGTCCCTCCTCCCCTGGGAGGACTCCACCAGATAAATAAGGTCAAATTGTTTTTTCTTAAATGAAATCAAGTCTAAAGGGACCATCTGTGCACATCTGCTCCTTGAGGAAACAAGATGTATGTGATCCCATGGGTGAATGCACGTGAGCACATCTCAAACAATCCTTAAGCCGCCAAACTAAGTCAGCAAGATAAATGCCATACTCCTGAAAATTTCAAGAAATGGGCCATTTTCAGGCTGTGCTTGGCCACCTGTCAGCACCCCATGGAGGTAGAGTCTCAAACGTGAGCTCAGCTCACTGACAATCAGGGAATCCATGTGGAAGAGACTTTATGGAAACTCCAGGTGGAGCTCACCCCTCCCCCAAAGAGTTTGGCCACAGGCTAGCTGGTCCCTCCTCCCCTGGGAGGACTCCACCAGATAAATAAGGTCAAATTGTTTTTTCTTAAATGAAATCAAGTCTAAAGGGACCATCTGTGCACATCTGCTCCTTGAGGAAACAAGATGTATGTGATCCCATGGGTGAATGCACGTGAGCACATCTCAAACAATCCTTAAGCCGCCAAACTAAGTCAGCAAGATAAATGCCATACTCCTGAAAATTTCAAGAAATGGGCCATTTTCAGGCTGTGCTTGGTCACCTGTCAGCACCCCATGGAGGTAGAGTCTCAAACGTGAGCTCAGCTCACTGACAATCAGGGAATCCATGTGGAAGAGACTTTATGGAAACTCCAGGTGGAGCTCACCCCTCCCCCAAAGAGTTTGGCCACAAGGCAAATGCCAGGGGTCAAGGTGCCATCAGCTCCACAGCTGCTAAACCTCCAGGTGACATTACACACACCCCAAACTCACCAGTCAGAGCTCCTCCAAGGCTTCCTCTTCTGAGCTGTCTCCCATCTTCACTCAGCTGCCTCTTAAATTTAGAAGACTTTCCAGGGCCAGAAGAGACTTCAGGACCACTGGATTTTCGAAAAGGCATAGGTGGGGGGGACAATATGTGATCAAGCTGCAAAGAAACAGAGGAAAAAAATATGTATATATACTGTTTAAAAGCTTACCTTCATTGAAAAAAAATCTAAGTTACCTTTACTTAAAGATTATGACAGCACTTGGGGAAAAAAAAAAGAGTGTTTACAAAGATCTTGGGGTAACTATATTTCTAACTGAAATAGAAAATTTTGCAAGTGCCAGATTTGTGGCTAGCTGTGTAAGAAAGCCATCCTCCTCTTGTACGGCTCACAGCACCTCCAACCACACTCTCACACAGCATTTTTTGCAGTGGTCCCGTCTCAAGGCACAAGGGATCAGACTTCAGCTTACTCGACCTTCCATAAAGCAGTCTTTTTGCAGCCGTGAACCATCTGACCTTGCAACCTATGCAATCTGCTCTTGCCACCATTTGGCCTTGGCAATTTCCCCCCAGCTTCATGCGAGTAGTCACTAGATGGCACTGTACTATCAACAAAATGCAAACCACTGCCCAGCCTAGGGAAACGCTGATAAATTTTATCAACACCAGTGCAAAAAAAAAAATTTAAATTATCCTGTTTAAAAAACAGGCATTCATTTACACTGAGTTTGAAATAAGCATAAATGCTTATTCTTCATTCTTCAAATTCTGTTCCTGTCGTCATTCCTACATAAAGTTTTAACCCTCTGGTTTTGACTATACATTTAATGTCTCAATATTTGATCAAATTCACAAAAACAAAACGAAAAGCAAGTGAGCAAATACAGGCAAAGGAAGAAAGAGCAGGGATGAAAGTAAGCAAAGTAGAAAGTTTTACAAGCATCCTTCTCCTTAAACTGGTGCAGTCGCATGGTGTCACTATTTTGCAAGCCACTCAAATGTTTTTCTATAACATTTAAACCCTGATTTTTACCAAAACTTTTTAGGAAGCCAAGCACAAAGTCTTTTAGTTTTTTATAGTTCATGTACTTATCAGCCAGACAATCTACATATCACCTGCAATATCCAACTGCTTCATCCTCTCTGTCCACTGAAAGGAAGGAGCCAAGGTCACCATAGTCACTGATGAAGATGCACAGTGAAGCCCATTTTTGCTTAGTTAATCCCACAGCAAAGTACTGTATGCCCTACAAAGCATTTCAAATCCCACGTTTAGAGTTTCTTTTGTATTTAATTTTTCAGGTAAGTTAGTGTTTTGGGTTTGTTTTTTTAATCAAATCTGCAGCTTATTGGAAGTGTTTGCAAATATGCACTTCTAAAGCATCAAGAAACACAGTGCCTTCTGAATCTGCTTCTTCAGCATATTAAGACTCATTCATGTTCACAACAGACACTGAAGTAACTGATGAACTACAGCCTGTGCCTTCAGCAATTTCCTAAATTGGGAGGTTTTGGGTTCACAAAGAATATTTAATTAACCATTGTTACCATTCATCTTTTACAAACCCAGGTGTGTCACAAATACTTCTATTTCCAAGTGCTGCGATACTTCAACGTGAATTTACAAATTAGTCAAAAAGGAAATGACTGACAACAGCTGGCTACTAAGAAACATTATTTTGAGACTCTTTCACATAAGTCTAAGCAAATACTTGAACTGCTCACTGACTGATGGACAGCAACGATTGCTCAATGCTGCACTCCAAATGAGTCCAAGCATCTGACAATGACATGATCCAATCAAGGCTTTAGGTGAGTTATTGGCAAAAATTCATGCAGTTTCTTAAAACAGGTTCACGCTTCAAAGTAACCAACCACATTTTAAATCTCTTTTTCCTGGCATAAGGTTCATCAAAACTTTAAACAAGAAAAAAAAATACAACAAATGCACTAAGCTCCCTGCACGTTAGCACTTAAGTCTACACAACAGAATTAGTGTCTTCCACCCTGTCACCTTCCCCCTTATAACCAGGTATATAACCTGTTGCTCAAGTCACTCCCACAATGAACAGACTTGTGCATTCCATGACATGCAATCTGATTACAAAATTCAATATTTCAAATTAAGCTGTGCTCCTTTTCCACAGCTTTCCGGGTTTCAGAAGAAACTTTAAGATGGGGCTATAGTACAGAGCAGCACAGTACCGTCCAGGTCTTCAATTCATATTTAAGATGCTTTTCCACTGTACAAACTAGCAGCTTCAGAAAAGTATGATTTTTGAAAACGAAGACAGTTTAAATATCAACCCCCATAGGCTCATCATTTTAACAGCAATGCCCTGCCAGCAGTCTCTTGCAAAGGTACCTCCTTGTTGCTAAGTGACTCTACCACAACTAAAATTTGTTTGATACAATTTCAGCACCAACTTTGGGCACACAAGTTCTCAACAACACAAACTTCAAGGACTTGCATGAAACAGAGAAGGAGACCCCGCACAGTCAGGGACTGGTACTTGGCCACTGGGACAGAAGCTACCAGCCAGGAGAGAAGTAATTTTGACCCCACATGAACTGGCCATGCCTGAGGTCCTACATGTGGAGGATCTTGGGAACAGGACTGGGGAGGAAAGAAAGGGAGGGGAAAGAGGGGAGACATCCTTCCCACCAACACTTTTCAACATGTCCTCAATTTGAAAGTCCATATGTCATCCTCTGACATGAGAAACACGGGAATAAAATGCAATTTCTGAAGTTTTGCATTTTTAAACACAACAGGATGAAACTCAGTTTCTGTTGAAGGAGAATGTGATTCTATTACATAGAGATAACAAAAGAAAAATAAGCATTCTTGCATATGACAAATTGAGGACCAAAATATCATAGCAGTATTAGGTTTCACTAAGTGTTTCTTGGGGGCAGAAGTTCATTCTAATATAGGAACGGTCAAATTCAATATAGTAGATGATACTTATACAGACCTGTCAGCTGGGTTTCAGCTGGATGTAGAGAACCATATCTCATCACCTGAAGCAACTATACCAAAAGACATTATATGGTCTACCACTACAAAGAAACAATATGGAAATATGAGATTTAACATTTTCATATTGATGGCCAACTCCTGCTTTACTGAAACAACTACACATATATCAACAAAGCATTTCTGGAAGCTGTCAGAAGGCTCACTTTTGCTTCCAAAGGGCAAAATAAGATCTATAGCACATACAGTGTGTATTTGAGAGGTGTCCGTACACTGTAACAGCTGTTATAGTAGACTGAGAAGAGTAGACAAGGATATATCCTTTAACAGCCTTGACATAACAATTCCGGATGCTGGGAAAATACGAGAGAAGTGGACTGCAGAAAGTAGCCAGGTTTGCAAGCCCCCCCTGAATAACTTCTTGTGCTACTTGCAAAGAATAGACAGCTAGATGAACCGATTTGACCCAGAGCGGCTTTCTAGCCCCCATTCAGACCTTACTTCAAGCAAAAGCCTATGCAGCAGATGAAGAGGTTTTCTGTCTTCAACAAAACAGCCTTCCCCTCCTGCCTGGCAGAGCATTCAAGTCCAAGTAAGTGAAACCAACAGAGAACATTTTATTAGGTCCTGCTTCCTTGGAACACACAGCTGATTCTGAAGAGGTGTAACATGGCACATACTCAAATCACACAAAGTGGTTAGTTCAGTCAAAATGACACTACCATCGTTCAGTAAGAAGATTATGACAAGTTCAAGTAAGTAATAGCAAGACCTATTCAAACTCGTTAATACTTATTTGAAAGAACTCCTGGGAACCTGAACACTATGAAAGTTCACATTGTATGTCTTATCACGTACAGATTGGACATTGCTGTCCACAAGACAACATCCAAGCAAGTATCTTGAGGAATTAGGGTTGTTGAAATTCTACCAGAGATATTTTAAATACTTTTACTCAAGCTGCTTCTACTCAGCACATCAAATAGTTTTGCCCAGCCACAATCATCACTCTATTGGTATTTACTTCATGCTTACTAGCTATACGAACATGTGTTGATGTTGGATGGCATACAAGCACAAAAGGAGAACCAGGGTTTGGTTGGTTGCAGCTTGTTTTTTTGGTGAAACTTGCTTGACAGCAAGTTGCAAGAAATACAATAGCTGTATCCCTGGAGGCAGTTTCCAACAAGCAGACATTCATGCTATACTTTGAGGTTCTGGCTATCACATGCTCTGCCCACTGTCTTACTACTGCACTCAGGCTGCAAGCATACACTTCTCTCCACTGCCTTTTTAAAGAATTGTTAGTGACTTAAGGAGTAATGGGATAACGGAGGGCAGTTTTTCCACCTGTCTATGGAATTGCAGGGCAGGGGAATAAAATAATTTGAGAAGTTACTTCAGAAAGTCACTACTTCAAAGACCTATAACAGCTAAGACAAAGTATATGAAAACAAGTATATTTGATTGTCCTGTATCTACCATACAAAGTTAGCCATTGAGTGTATACAGGCTGCTTAGGGAGGGATTTTTAATCAGTACACATCTCGCCACCAGTCTCTGCTGTTAATATTCACAATGCATGGATAGTTAACTTATGTAAAAACACTCCCTCCCCCAACACTAAATACTGAATAATTCCTTTCCAACAAAGGCACTTTGAAAGACAGAAAACACACAGCAAACTCCAAGCTATGCAGAATGTACTGTTCTACAAAATGCATTTCTTCCAATCTATTTTTCCACATATTTCACAAAAAAATCTGCCTATATTGTAGGTATGATGAATTTCTACAGAAGCACTGTAAAATTTCGGAGGTAACAGCTTTCACAAAATGCTATTCCCCCCGCTCCTTCCCATGAACCTTACGAACAGGAACAGACAGTATCGTTAGAGGAGAACAGCTTAAAAATTGCATAGAACAGAATCATCAAAATATCCTTACCATAAACTTCTACACATAGATATAAAGATCCTATATAAACATGGATGGAATTTGAGTGACAGGCTCCTCCAGTTACACAGGAATTTCCTCCAGGGAATCAGGACTGAATCAATTTGTCCTCAAACAATTTTTTTTCATATTTTGAAGCTATTAATTATCTGTGTGAATAGAATCAGCTACATTCCTCTAAAGAAAATTATTCTCATACTGTACTAGCCATGGACTTTTAACAGCTCACCTACTCAGAAAGGATTATCTTCATGTTTTTAAAAACCTCAGTAGCATTAAATCTAGCTGTCTACCATCATGTATTTATTCTACAGCTAGAATGAATTCTCTGCTTGATAATTATATCATCAAGTAGTCACATCAAGTACATCAGCCCACATGTCCTTATGAAAATTAAGGACATGGCAACCGGTTCAAAATAAGACCTAACGCCAGTACAATTTGAGCCGAGTACATAATGAGGTGTGGGGCAGCCAGAAAGGAAATAATGGATTTCAGGAGAGGAAATCCATGGTACAAGAAGGTGAATGAAGCTAAGATAACACAATCAC